TTGGGATCCACCGTGGACGAGGCCAGTCCCGTTGTGAGGGGAACAGAAACTTCAACATTGAACCCTTCATCTTTCATCTGCAGATCAAGATTTGGTCCCGCATTCGCTTCTCTATATTTGATCCCCTTCGCGTGACGCAGCAAAATCTCGTAGAGAATATCTCTGATAGATGTTTCGTAACTGAAAGCCTTTTCGTCATCCCAGGGAATATAAGTGTCATCCAATGGGAACCGTCTGCTCACTTTCTCGTCCAATATTCTTTCTCCATTTGGAGCATATTTCACATACTCTTGGACAGCTTGAGTAAAAAACCATGCAGCATCTCTTGCATTGTATCTTGGGTTTCTTCCAGCGTCAAGTAAATTAGGAATCAATCCATGCTTCAAGGTCTTAGCAAAACCGAGAATATGCTGCTTGGCGTCATCAAATCTTCCTGGAACCAATAAGAGCCCTCGGAAAGAAATGAATACATCACGACCCCAGCATCTCATATAATCTGTACTAAAATGCGGAAGACCAGCAGCGAGGCAAGCCACCTTCTTATCAGGCAAAAGTGATGTATTGTTCATGAAGCCACACATTTGAACAGAGGTCAATGCCAAACTTTGAACAAAGTTTGTAGCATTTTTTATCTTATCATCCATCTGCGCCAAAGCTCTGAAGCGGGCAGCTTCATAAGCAACACCAACCACGAGGGCAAAGTAATGAGGCCGTAAGTAGTATGGAACTTCCTTGATAGCATCCATACGAGACTTAATCCAGTCACGGAATTTGCCAATTGCCTCCGATTCTTTGGCATACTTGTCCAACCGATTCACCACGTAGTCTGCTGCCCAAAATCCCTCTCTCAAGTGATTACAGATTGGATGAGCAAGATCATTATTCCAAATAACATCTTTTAAAACCAGAATCCATCCTTCTAACCCAGCGTACACTAATTGGCCAGATCCCGGGATATTGTAAGTGCCTTCTGCACCATGGCTTGCATCCCTTTCTTCAGACTCACATCTGTACAAAATGGCGTTCAAATCGTACAAGTTAAGGCCCAAAGATGCTTCAATTGCACCTTCTTTGACGTACTTATCCAAGTTCTCGTTTGCTGTGGGAATTTTAGTAGAAAAGACAGCGATGGATCCTGGTTCAAAGCTTCCATCTGTCTTGATCACATAGCCAGATTCATTACGGATGATTTCGGGAGATTCAAGGTCAATGAGCTTCGTAGGAATGCCTGTTATTCTTTTGTCGTCACGCGAATATTCGCCTGTTTTCTCCAATCTGTAACCAAACTCGTACTTGATCTCAGTTCCTTTCAAATCGACAGGAGACAATATTTGCTCTCCTTCATGCCCATTGAACTTACTCCTTGCAATCAAAAACCAACCTTCACCGGTTCTAGTGTTGTACCGCTGAATTGTTATGTACTGGCCCTCGTGATGCACATACATCTCCTGTTCAGCGTAGGCATCAGTGCTTTCCAGAGCAAGTTTGTTTCTAACTTCATTCAACTTCATTTTTGCTTTGGCAATTCCAATATTATCATCATAAGCATATTGTCTCTTCTCTCCCACAACATCGAGAAGTTCGGGATAAGTCTCGTCGAAACCGAAGACAGTGCCGATAGCTGAAGAACAAAGCGCAACTAATGCAGCAGTAGGCAATGAATCCTCTATGGTTCTAATTTGCGCAGGCGTTTGATTATCATGCGTACAATCCATGAACAAAGCATGAGGTGCATGAGCTGTGAGAACTTGTGGAATTTGCAACTCGGAGTTGCTTCCCAAATGCTTTCCAGTTTTTGGTTCTTTTCCAGCAGGATACGAGAATTCATCCAAAGGAAGCCAAGAAAGAGACCCAATCGGTCTGCCTCCATGCTTATGAACCAACCTCGACAATTCCTGGACATCCCATGCTTGCATTGCTTCCCTGATCAAAGAATTGATACCTAATTTTTGTACGAAGATTTTGTCCATGGCTTCAGAACCTGTAAACAATTCTGCAACCACATACAAGTTGGGATTCACTGATCTTGCCGCATCCAACAAAGCTTCACCAACATGTAAAGGTGTAGAGTGGCAGTTGTCCAATCTGAAACCGTCAAATAGTTTTGCACAGTCTTTGGTGTACTGAATCATTCTCTTCCACAACGCAGGAGAGTCTTGAGGACCGGAGCCATACCTCAACTTGATACAGTCACCCCAAACAATAACTTCTCTGCGAATATAAGCCCTAGACTTATTTGAAGCAAAGTCAACAAGAGGATCACCACCCCATATCCAACCATTATTGGCCAAGGCCCATTTTTTACCGTGTTTGTCTGTGAATCTAGTAAAATAAGGTTCGGCGACTCTGTTTTTCTTTGTAATAGGCCCCAATTTCGGCCCGTTATCGGCTAATCTGAGGTAACGGATTCTGTCTGTGAGCTGCGTCTTTATTGAAGCAACATCATCATCATATTGCGCGTACAACTTCAAGTTAATTTCGTCCACTATATGTGAGGCCTTGTCGGCAATCTCTTCAAACAGGGTCTCATTCTTCTGTACCAAAGTCAACAATATACCAAGAAACTTTGCGGGATCTAATTTGTTAGAAAATCTATCCTCAAATATGGCTTTACCATGCAAGCTGGCAGAAGAGACGACAAAACTAGCTAAAGCGGTCAAGTCAGACACGTCCACTGAGGATGGAATCTCACTTGGTGTGACAGACTCTTTTTCATAAAGTTTTTGCAACTGTTCGGTCAATTCGACTTTTTCAAAAACGTAGTACTGCCATAAGTTGAGAGGATTCAACACGTGATTGTTGATACCTTCAATAATATTCTTTAAGTCCTCTTCTGATTTGATATCAGTGGGCAAATTTAACTCTTCCAATCTGTCACTGAAGGATGAAAGAGCTTCGTCCAACTCAATTGCTGCCCGTAAATGTGGCGCTGTCTCCGCATTGTATCCAGCATCAGGTGCATCACGAATCCATGCTGAATTGTCGGCAGTATGGTTCCAAACCACATCAGTCATGGCCAATAAGCCGTTTTGTGACATGGCATTACGGATGACGGACAGTGCTTTCTCGTTGCTACCGAACAATTTGGGATCGAAACGAAGCTGGTCGTAAATAGAATACGGAGAGTCAGACAGGCCCCTTTCCTGCAAAGGAGTAAAATGGATCATGTTGTATCCTTTTTTAGCCACATAAGCAAAGAACTCATTCCAGTGATCTAATGGTCCAATCCATTTGGATACGACAGTCTGCAAGTTGATGGAGTTGAATGGAAGATACTTGGAGTTGATGAAAAGCTGGGGAGGTACTGTGAAGTAAAAGTGGTCTGTTTCGGTTGGTGTATTGTCAGCCTCTTCGTAACGAATGTAGAAAGCATAAGGACCAGGCTTGTAAATTGGAATTGTGAGCGAAATGTCCTTGTGAAACGAGCTGGTGAGAGGTACATCGTAGAAGGTGTCTCTTTGAAACTTGGTTTTTGCGTCCAAAGGGGCATTGGTCTTGAAAACACCATTGCGGCTTACTTTCGCAGCTGCATTGAGCACAATCTTTAAGTCAAAAATTGTTTCATCTTCATGGTGGTTCTTTTCGGAAGCCAATGACGGCAAAAGCAAGACACCATTCGTGTCGTTATTTGTGTTTAGGGGTTCTCCGGAGTCGGAGAGTCTAAGAAGCACAGTTCGAGACGGCATTTAACCAATTGTTTCACCGAATTGTCCTTAACCAAATATGTTCCGGAAGATAGAAAACAGAAGTTAATAAGAAAAAAGAAAAGGCACGGAGTGTATTAAAATTCGTTGCTGTGGAGTTTATGCAAGTTATTTAAACCAAGTGCGGCCCGCAATTATCATGCAACATTTCGCTAATTCCGTACGATGTGTGGAAATGTATTCACCGGCATATGGAACCTTGGGATATGCTGGGACAGCCATTCCTTCGATTGTAATCACTAGGCTAATCCCCCACGATTAACGATGCGGGGTAGGCTGGAGAAACAAGTGCAGACAAAAAAAGTAGCTTCCCCACCAGGACTCGAACCTGGAATCTTCTGGTTCCAGAAGTGGTTACTTAATCGTAGCCAGACGCCTTGACCATTGGGCCATGAGGAACGAAGCTGTCAGTTTCTTTTTTTGCACTAATTAGTGCTGCCAGGTTTGTTGTCAGTGTTTTTTCTGTTATACGAATAGCTAGAGTTATTAGATCATGCCACCTCATTTTTCTGACGTTGGTGCGTTAGGTACCTCCCACAATAATATCTTCCCAACCTTTTGGTTGGTGTTGACATGCAGTGCTATTTCGCATGTCAAGTTTCAATCTCACACTAAGAGACCCAGCTTTTGACTTTCTAATGCCCGATACGCAGAACCTAGTCTTTGAATATATTGGAGATGAGATCATTGCGGATTTTAAAGGTTCTGGTTCTGAATCGCTCCTCCAAATACTCCAAGTGCCAGATCTCTCAGATGACGATGCGTCGGACATTATAAGCACTGTTTTCACGGAGATGCTAATACTTTTTGAAGACGAAAAGTTGGATACAAAAACAATAGCCGATTTTTTGGCTTTGGCATTAACAGATGAGATGAAGGCAGCTATATTCTGCCAGGTGTTGGATGTTTTTCCTCAGACTGAGAAGCTACAACAACTCTTAGTTTTTCTCTATGAGAAACAAAAGATAATCAAACCGTCTACTCTCGCTCAATTTCTCGATTCAGAATTGTTGATTTCGCTGCAGATCGTTCCTAGTGGTCCTCTTTATCGTCAGCTAAACACGCGTAAAAGAGATGAGTTTTACACCCAGAAGAAGTTCAATTTATACCATGAGGAGTTTGAAGGCTATTCAAAGTTGATTAACGAAATGTATTCAATTTTGAAAAACCCAGATTGTGCATTTCAAGTGAATCTTGCCGTCCAAGTAGTAGAGCTGATGATTGGCCATTATCAGTTAGATCCCAATCGTGTTCTCGATATTCTTTTGGATATTTTCAGCAATTTCATTGTTGGCCATCACAAGTTCATCGTGCAATTTTTCAAAGCTTCGAAATGGTGGCCGTCTACTCCAGCGGATGCCATGAGTGGCTTCGAGACCTTAAATATAGGTGGATGCGAAGCAGCAACGAATTGCTTGGCTTTGAAATTGGCCAAATACCCTTCTGACAGGGAATTACCTGAAACTTTCAAAGCTATGATTTCGATCTTGATCAAAGAGGGGTTCATTAGTTTTGGACAACTCTACAACTGCTTCCAACGCAAACCTGATGAAATGTCTATCTTGGAAAAGCAGTATCAGAAGGAATTAGAAGATAAAGTATTCCGAGCAAGTGCTAGTGCATTGGCTTTGGCAGCACCATTAGCTGATGATGAAGAAGAAGAAGGTGACAAAACTAAGAGTTCAATAAACTCCGATGACAAGTCAAAGAATGACGTTTCTAAACAGACTTGCGAATCATTGATCAAGCATAATTTTGAATTCCAAATGCTCAAATCCTTTTTGGGAAATGGTCTTTATTGGCCCGCCGTTTATATTCTCTCAAAGTACCCGTTTGTTGTACATGTTGACCCGGAAGTACCTGAGTTAATGCATCGTTTATTGAGCGTTATGCTTCAACCGATCTATGCCAAAGTCAATTCGCTTGCAGGACTGGATTTGATAGCTTTTCAACAAGAAAAACCTTTAGCCTTCCCCCGTCCGCTTAACAAAGTGCATTATGAAGACCCACCTCAGTCAAGTTTGTATTGTTTCAAACCTATGGCTAAAGCTTTCAGCAACAAAAAGCTTGTTTATTTTTATACGGAGTGGAAAGAAGGACTCCCTTCAGTTTCTTCCAGCGAAGATTTGATCAAGATTTCTCACCAATTCATAAAGTTTTATGGTGTGCAGCTTGCGAGTGACATCGGTAATTTTTCAAAGCTATGTGAGGTGATAGTTGCAGATCTTGAAAATGACTCCTCTGACCCTAATAAGGAGAAATGGTTTTTCTACTTTAAAAATTATATTTTCCCAGCTATTGGATCTATTCAAGAAAACCACATCCCAGCTGATAAAGCGTTTGAGGTCATGAAGTTTTTTAAAGAAGAGGAAAGGTTTAATATGTACGGTGAACTTCATCAAGTGCTTGCGAAGAACAATCCACATGTGAAAATTATGTATGGAAAGGCTGAGAAGGCCACAAAAGACTTGTTGAAACGTCTTTCAAAAGAAAATGTTGATCAGATGATGCGCCGATTGGCGAAGGTTAGTTACTCTAATCCCCTTCCCTGTTTTTTGACAATTTTGCAACAGATTGAAAGTTATGATAATCTCAACAACTTGGTTGTTGAAACTGCAAGGTACTTCAACAACTACGGCTGGGATAACTTGACTCTCGCAATATTAATGAGACTTTCTGCTTCTGGGAGAACTAGTTTCCAAGCGGACGGCTTAAATGAGCGTCAATGGATTCAGTCCCTTGCATCTTTTGTGGGTAAGTTATGTCTGAAATACCCAGAGAAGATTAACTTACATACCATTCTCCAATTTCTCTTAAAGTCTTTTCATAACAATGAGGGCTCAGGCTTACTAGTTCTCAAGGAGATGCTTTCCTATATGGGTGGTATTCAGGCTATAACGAACTTAACTGTCCTTCAATTAAACCTCATCGGCTGTGGCTCGTCTTTGCAGAAGATAGTGTACGCCACTATCGGAGATCAACGATTTGAGAGGCAATTATCTGGGAAAATTCTTTGCGAAACTTTATTTAGTCGTGACGTGGTGAATGAGTTTCTAGTACTTTTGTGCAAGCTAAATGCTGCTCTCATATCGGGTTCTGAACTCTCGCATCTCAAAGTTCTTGCAAACAAAAATGATGATATTGATGCAGTCTTGCATCTTTTTTGTACACTTATTGATGTTTTTGGAAACGAAGAACAATCGAAAAATCTCCTTAATGTTTCTGTTTTAGTTGAAGATTACGGAGTGCCTATCCCGTGGGCTTTTGAAGTATGGAGAAAATATTTACAACCCGAGGACATTGAAGAGCTCAAAACTGGCTTGCAGGATACCAATCATACATCATTGAAGACATGTTTATCAACTGATATGTTTGTTACGTTTTGGAAGTTAAAACTCTACGACTTGAACTATTCCACAGCACTTTACGAATCAGAGACTGAAAAATTGACCAGTAAAATAATAAGCCTCAAAGAATGGATAAATTTTGCTAGAAGAGATCGGGAAACAACAAAAGAGTCGCTACTCAAAAGCACTTCTGAGCTTAGACAAACAGAAAAATACATCTCTGAGATTCCTCGAGAACAGGCTGCCCATGAGGAGCATAATAAAATGATGATCGACAGTCTTGTTTCTCTGTCACGTCTGTGGTTTGCGGATGCGAATATTGATAGTATCAAAGCCACAACTACTCATCTTCTTCAAGAGTGTATCCTTCCTCGAGCTGTACACTCATCTTTTGATGCTCTTTACAGTGCAGAATTCCTTTTCAAGCTCCATGATATTGGTACCCAAAACTACTCCATTATTCTTGCCTTAGATGGATTGTTCAGGACAAAGTTGCTCTTTGGCACTTTGTTCACATGTACACCAACAGAAGCTGAGAACTTGGGAATTTTCTACTCAGTAATTTTAACAAGATTGAATTCATGGACAAACGAAAGTGTCTTCAACGAGCAATTACTGAATGGTACCCTCTTCACTACTGATATGGGATCGCAGCTTACGTTGAACGAATTCAGACAAGCCGTTTTTGATTACCACAGTGATCTTTTGGAAGACATTTCTCTGGCATTGACTGTCCAGGAGTACATGTCTAGAAGAAACGCCATCATCTATTTGAAGAATCTTTTAGGAATTTATCCTTCTGTTGAAGATCATTGCGAAGCTATCATTGAACTTATTGAAAACATATCGAAAGACGAGAATCGTGATGATTTGAAACTTTCGTCAAGTGCTTTAATTGGCCATGTAAAGTCGCGCTCGGGATCATGGGTCCATATGTGGGATTTCATTGACATGCCTGTTGATGCCAAAGCCAAGCAGGTTGAAAAACGAGAAGAAATTAAGAAGATGCGTGAAAAGGCTCGCCAGCAGGAGTTGAAATTGAAACAAGAAGCAGAAAAGAAAGCATATGATGAAGAGCAAAAGAGAATAAGAGAACGTCAAGAAAAACTTGCAAAGGAGCGAGAAATGGAAAGATCAGCACAAGCACAGGCTGCTTCTACTTCTATAAGCTATGATGATTCTAAGCCCAGGACAGAGAGATCACATGCGCGAGTGGACGAATCCGCCAGAGGGAGATACGATCGCTACTCTTCATCTGCTAGTGAACAATCTTCTCTGCGTCCCAATGGATCTACATCGGGTGGATCTAAACCCATTAAAGGCGAAGAAAAAAACAGCTCTTTGAAGGATGCTAAAAACCTGGGACCATCTAAAGACTCGACCAAAGAGTCTTTGAAGAACCCTCCCAGGGAACCACTGTCTACAGCAAGAGAACCAGCGAGAAACTCTGCCCCAAAAGCACCTCTCAAAGACAATAATGGAACAAAACCACAGAAAACCTCGGGACATCCTACAAGGACCACCGTTTCTGTTCCATCTCAGAATCCTCAGAAGCCAATGGATCGGTCAAGAACACAACCAGAGAAGTATGTTAGAGCCCCTGTCCCGCCTCCTACTCAGAGCCTGGGTGAAGATCTTTTCCGTCTGAAGCTTGGGCCAAAGGGAACCTCAAGACTAAAGGACAAGATTAACGAAGGAAAACAGAAATATAGGGAGAATAAGGCGCTGTCTGATGTCGCTAAAAGTAGAACATCTTCCCCAGCGTCCAATACAAGCTCTCGTCCACTGACGCCTGCAGCAGTTCCTCCTCCACCAACACCCCCAGTGCCTACGAAAAGAGCACCCTTGCCTCCACAACAGGCTCCACCTAGACCAGGCTTCGGAAGAGACGGATATGGAGGCCGCCCTAGTGGGCCACATAGGCCAAATACTCAGCAAGCAGGCCCATTGCCTCCTCCAAGTGTTCCTCCGCCTAGAAGCGATGGCAAGGACGGACGTTATCGGAACGATAATAAAAGAAGATACGAGGGTAGTGGGCACTATGATAAGAGACAAAGATACTGATGTGACAACGTTCTTCATGTTACAAGCAGTTGTAAATAGTTGTATTCAATACAGACTCAATGGTAACGTGAAAGTAGCCAATTATTGTTGGAGTTCCAGAAGCTCCACAAAGATGAGCGCATCCAACTCCAGTTCTGTCTTTTTTATTTCAGCTTCTGTGGGCTCTGCTTGTTGCATACTGGGGGATGTTCCCTGGTCCTCTGTAGTTTGAGCAAACTCGCTCATGACATCAAAATCTTCCAAGTCCGAGAAATGGTCCAGAGTATCATCGTTTGCAGAAGTGGATTCGTCTGCGCCGATTGATTTCAAATACTCATCAGCTTTCTCCAAAATTTGCTCGTGTCGTTTAAGGTGCTTGATATAGGCGTGTCGCCGAGTGAACTTGCGTTGACAGTTCTTTTTCGGACAGACATACGTTTTGGTATAGTTTCCCAGAATCATCTTGATCACTGACTGGTCTGCATCTGGCAATGGTGAAGCAGATAAAGGTTTGTCAACCTTTGGTCTACCCCTCGTATGGGGGGTATCATCTTCGTCAACAATTTCGGGAAGCAGATGTTCGCGTCGTATTGACTGAAGAGAAGACAGATTTGCTTGGTCAACAATGTCATCTACATTTGCCGCTTCCGTTTCATTAAGGAAGCCTTGAGGGAATTCTCGATTATGCATGTCACAATAATGTTTGATCAAATCCGTCTTGGTGACAAACTTGGCGGTGTTGCATGTTTGGCACTGGAACAAAGCCTGCATTGCCTGAGATTCCGGATGAGTTAGAACATGCGCTTTGAGCTCTTTGCTATTGTCACAGAGGAGTCCACATATATCACACTTTAACTTTGGATGTACTTCATCAACATGGCGCTGTAGTAACGCGGGAGTTTTAAAAATCTCAAAGCATCCGGGAACCGGACACAGATGCGAGTACATCTGGCCATGGTGCTTCATCTTGTGTTCAAGGACAAGTGACTTACGCTGGAAATGCCTGTTACAAATACCGCATGTGTAAACTTGCTCGTGCACAGTGTCAATGTGATGTTTCAACGATTTGTGATGATAAAACGCTTGTGAGCATCCATCATAAGTACACTTGTACTTTTTCGTGTGCGTGAGCTCGTGTCGTCTCAATAACGGGTGGGAGATGGTTCCCTTCCCGCAGATCTTGCAATGGAACGGTTTTTGGTCGTTACTCTGGTGTGAGTGTTGATGGATCTCCAAGTGGTTTTTCCGGGTGAAAGTCTTACCACAGCCTTCCACTTCACAAACAAAGGGCCGCTCATTAGTGTGGACTCTTTCGTGCTGCCGTAGGAGGGATGGCCGATTATATGCTTTGTTGCATCCCTCGAAAGTACACTGGTACTTTTTAACAAGCATGGGTTAATGTAGAAAGATGTTAGGCTAGAGATGTCGCGAAGTGTTGTGCGAATCCGTTTAACCCACCCAGAAAAGCGCGTACTTGCGTCAATCGGCCTATCGCGAGAAAAGACAACATTTGGCAACCTTTAAGGGCCTAACAAAATGTTGACAAAGTGGTAAATAGGTATCATTTCCCACACTACACTACAGTGCTTTTCACAACAAACAAGAAGTCCGTGATAGTTTAGTGGCTAGAATTACCGCTTGTCGCGCGGTAGACCGGGGTTCAATTCCCCGTCGCGGAGCTTTTCAGCGCAAGTGGTTTAGTGGTAAAATCCAACGTTGCCATCGTTGGGCCCCCGGTTCGATTCCGGGCTTGCGCATTTTTTTTCTCTTCTTTGTTATTGTTTTTCTTGGATCTCGCAAATAGAATTTCCATGTGCGACAAATCGGGTAAAAAATCTCAAACTCTATTTTTATCTGGGCCAACGCTTTTGTTCCTTCTTCGTTTCCATTTCTTTAGTCTCCCATAACTTTTCCCTTTCACAACTGCACCCGAAAATGTCGCTTGGTGAAGTTGCGCTGTCTACTCTTCAGGCAACGGTCACGATGGTCTTGAACAACAGAGACGATATGCCCTCTGCCACTACTAAAGCCAAGGGAATGCCATCTTTGGATACCTCCACAACACAAGATTTTACAACACCATCTGTCACTGTCCCACCTAACCACAACAATCCATACATCCACAGAACAAATCACCCATCGGGAACGGTCTTCATCGCTGTGGGCTCGATTGTGGGTTTTATCCTCCTAGCCTTTTTGGCATTCTACGTTGTCAAATCGATTCTTGCTTCGAGATTGGCGAAAAAGAGTTTGCGCAACGAGAAGTCCATGTACGAACGGTTCTCGAAGAATAACTCGACGGCCTATGGTGGTCTCAGCCCACTGCATTCCAACTTTGTGGGTACCGAGTATCAGGGTTCTGTGGCCAAGTTACCACTTTTAAATGGCGGTGGCCAAAGATCGATCTTTGGTGGCTCTCAGGCAGATACTTCCACGATTTACAACGGAGAAGTGGCCGCTACAAGCAACCACGACTTTACACAGATGTTCGTTTCGCCTACAAGACAAGTGATGAAGACCAGTAAACAGAAATCGCCAAACTGGAACGGATCTGCAGCAAATGTTTCTTTGTACGGGAAATCAGCAACAACCATGGCCAATCCTTCGCCAGCGACCAACAGACACTCGCAAGTGGTGCCGCAGTTGTATCTTAACGACAGACTAAATAACAGTGAGGTTTTCTCGTCCACCTCTACAAACCAAAAAGCCGAAGATGCTACAGGCAGTCCTCGCTCAAAACGGAAAACCGTGCCTAGTATGTATTTGGACGACTTGATTGATGGGTAAAATTTTGCCCCTTATCGCCGAATCCGTCGTATCCGTGTTAGCCTTGCATTGCGATTTTATGTATCATTTATAAATATAGTAGTCGCACGAATACCAATCGCATTTAAGATTGCTAATTGTATCTCTTCTCTTCACCATGAAATTGGCCCTAGTGAAGTTGCAATTTCGAAGCTCGCATATAATGATACGCCGTGCTTACGGGGTCTTGAAAAACCAATACAAGTATCTGCAGCAATTTAAAGAACTTCAAATTGACAACGTGCCGGATCTTCCGTATCATGAGACTGTGCCTCTTGCTTGGCAAAGTTTCAAAGGTACAAACACAATTGATGAGACGAAAGCACCAATGGTGATACTTCATGGCATTCTTGGCCATAAGCAGAATTTTTCCTCTGTTGGGCGCCATATCTGTTCCATTTCGAAACGAGATGTGGTCGCCGTAGACATGCGTAATCACGGTGCCACAATGCTTGCAGCGCCCCATGATTACATGAGCATGACAAGAGATGCAATTGCTTTTGTTGAGCTGAACTTTCAAAAACCTGTGGTGTTGGCAGGATACCTGATGGGCGCAAAGGTGGCTATGTTAGCCACGCTCTTCAGACCCGAGTTGTTTGAGAAGTTGGTGGTTATAGACAATAGTCCCGTGGACCAACCTCTCGAGTCCCAGTTCTTAACCATTCTTGTGGGTATGGCTTATGTGGAAAGAGATGAATCGGTCAAGGGTTTAAGAGGGTCTTCTTTGATCCGGAGAATCGACCAGATTCTTGCGCCTTTTGAAAAGAGAAAAATCGTGCGCCAGTACTTGACCTCGAGTTTGAATAGGAAACTGACCGAAGAAGACAAAAATCTGGGCCGCACTTACAAGGTGCCTATATTAAACTTCTTGAAAGACCGTACTCTTGAACAATTAGAACTCTGGCCAGATGAGGCTGACGGCTTGCAATACAGTGGTCCTGTTCGGGTGATGCGCGGTTTGAAGTCTCCATTTGTTACTGATACAAACTTAAAAAGAGATTTTCCAAAGTACTTTCCTCATGTTCTGGTTACAGATTTCAATGCTGGTCACTGGCTCATGAGCGAGCAGCCAGAAAGATTTGTTCATCAATTATTGGCATTTTTGGAAAGATGATGATAGATGAAAAAGATAGAGGAGCATGGGTTAGTTCTCTTCATACGGACTAATACCCCTGTGGACTTATAGACCGATAGATACATGGTTCATATTTAATAGTTGGATAAAATGATAGATCGAAATACATGATTGCCCTTTGCCTTCGCACATTTGCAATCTTAGGTGCTTTGCATAAAACTCTTAATTGCGCTCAAAAGAACTTCATCGAGTACTGCATTCAATCACCCATTCAGATTTACCTAGGAGCATCTCTATAAAAGACATAAGGCTGACACAATAAAACACGCTAGCTATCTGATGTGGCTTCACAAGGAGAGTGTCGTGATTTCCCATCTGTTTTTGCATTAGCCACCAAGACCGAAAATTGCTCAAACCATTCTGGTAATGTAAAACGCACGGCCTGTCACTCACCGCTTACATAATCAGAATTATAACCTGCAAAGGGTATATATAGAAGGCGAGTGCTCGCTAGTCCGCACCAAATTCACAAAATTAAATACTTGACAAAATTGAAAGACCATAATGTCTGAATTTGGGCCTGCTTCCAGTGGGTCGGGCGAAGACTTGTCGTTGCCCAAGGCCACTGTTCAAAAAATCATTGGTGAAGTGTTACCGAAGGATATCGCCATTTCCAAGGAAGCGAGAGAAGCCATCACAGAATGCAGCATAGAGTTTATTATGATCTTATCCACACAGCTGAACGATATTGCCGAAAAGGAGGCTAAAAAGACTATTGCATCGGACCATGTTATCAAAGCTTTGGAAGAGCTTGGGTTCCACAACTACCTTGATATTATCAACAAGGTTTTAAGCGAACACAAGGAGCTTTTGAAGGGCAAGGAAAAAAAGAACAACAAGTTCCTCAACTCGGGCTTGAGCGAAGAAGAGTTGTTGAGGCAACAGGAAGAGTTGTTCAAAAAGTCACGCGCTCGGTTACAGAGTGGTGGGTCTGGCTCCTCCGAGATCAAACAGGAGATTTAAAACCACTATTTCCGTGTATATTAGTCTAATGATTCTGTATAATAGCAATGAAATGAAGTTGATTTCCCGTTTTAAGCTGGCACTGCTTCCGTTCTCGACGGAGTGCCTGACATAAGCTCAACCCCGTCATCACAGCCCAAAGAAGCTGGCCACAGCTTAACCCAAAATAAGCTCATATAAGATAATCAAAACGTTGATAAAAATTAATGGTAGTCTTAGCAACGTTCTTATAGCACTAATCAATGTAATCAATCTTGCTTTGATGGAGGCGTCATTACTGGCTTGCATTCCATACTGTGCTTGAAATTGATTGGCACTGGCGCTTGTTGTAGATGATCCCCAGCCAATTCGGTTGAGAAATCTGTCCTCACTCAAAACAGCCACGCCATTAACACTGAGAACAATCACGTAGAGTAGTTTTCCCAACCCAAACATGATGATTGTTTTATTCGAAAGTCACCTGTATGTGATTCGCTTGAGGACAGCTGACACCAGTACACCAGGGATATCCAAAGTTGCCGAATGGTGACTGCAGCGGTACAAAATAACAAACTAATGGTATATAAAGACTGAAACGAAAAAGATAGTTTTTTTTATGTATCATCTTTTGCTTTTGGTTCATTCACGGCTGTATCCGTTTTTTTCTGCTCGTTTAGGTCATTAGCACTTTATCACTTAATCGCAAAATGCGCCAGAATATAGAAAAAAGAAAATCGCTAAAGATGCAATTTGAAATTAATAGACTCTTATGTCGTAAATTGTTTCATTTCCGAAAAACAAAGCCAAAAAACTAGCACTACACAAAATACATAGCTGTGAAAGCTTACTTTTTATCTTATACCTAATTAACTAATTCCCTCTTTGCAGGAGCAATTGCTTCCACACCAGCGAGAACACAATACTAGAATTCGAAGGCTTCACGTAGCAAATACGACTTTTCCATGCAGAGGCGCGACTTCCATAACACGGCAATACTATCCTATCTTGTCCGTCCGTAAGAAAGTGACTTGCCAAACTAAATGGAATACTTTGTGGTTGGCGCACACCCACATATTTTCACATTTTTTTTGGTAACCATTCGATCCGTCTATTATACGTACAGCCACCTTCGACATGGATAAGGACACTCTACTCAAATCTTTGGCTGGTACGCTCGATGCAAGTTATGAGACAAGAAAGAGAAGTGAGGAGCAGTTGCGGTATTTTGAAGAAATGCCGGGGTTCACTGCATACTTACTTGATCTTATCACTGATTCTTCTGTGAACTTGGGAGTCCAGACTTCTGCAGCCATTTTTTTCAAGAACAGAGTCTCTGCGTACTGGATCATCCCAGAGCTCAAAGCTCCTTCTGCCAAGTACATCCAACAAGATGAAAAGAATGCGATCAAGAACAAGTTGGTTGAGGTGGTGAGCAAAACATACAAGAACAATCAGTTAAGAGTTCAACTATCCACTGCGTTAAGTTGTATTTTGAACCATGAAAAATGGGATGAACTAGCAGCTATCATTCCTAAGTTGTTGAGTGACACATCCAATGTTGACCATGTCTTCACAGGCTTGATTTGTTTGTTCCAATACACCAAAAACTACAGGTATGCGGGCATTGACTCTCCTAATTCTAAGAACATTGTTTTGGAGAGCATCTCAGAAGAAACATTCCCTATTTTGGAAGGCTTAGCAGGAAGTTTGTTGAACGATGACTCCCCAACTTCGGATGAAATGTTATACTTGATTTTAAAGATATTTAAGTATACTACTTTCACCAGCTTGCCAACGTATTTGCAAGACCTGGGGAAGCTTGGTACCTGGTGTCAGATCCATCTCATGCTTATCAACAAACCTTTGCCTGCTTCTCTTTCGGAAGCTGATTCAAATGAAAAGAGCTCTAACCCTAGAGTTAAGGCCGTCAAATGGTGCTTTGGAAATATTCACAGACTCTTATTGCGCCATGGTGGAGGTATTGGAACGAAATCAAAGGATTCTGAGTTCGTTAAGCTGTTTTTGTCTAACTTCGTTCCAGAAATTTTGAACGCCTACTGGTCGATCGTTGAAAAATGGTCTACCAAAGAGGTTTGGTTGTCTGAAGGCTCCCTCTTCCACTTGATTTCTTTCCTTGAACAGCTCATTGAAACACCTGCTTTCCCTTTGATTCAAGAGAAGATGGAAGCCATAATCAAGCACGTTCTCTTACCGACATTGAACGCTTCTCCCGAAATCATCGAATTGTATGAAGATGAACCGGAGGAATACATCAGAAGATTTTTTGACATCAGTAGAGATAACACGACAGCTGATACGGCATCCATCAACTTTCTCTGCAGATTGTCCTCAACCAAATTTTCAGCTTGTGGACCTTTGATACTCTCCATCATTAACAACATTTTCGAAAGAAGGGCTGCTGACAGAAGCAACTTACAAGTTGCTATGGAGACAGAAGGAGCACTTCGTACATTAGCAACAATCTCCTACAAGTTGGATAAGAAGTCGAGTCCTGTGAAGGGCCAGATTGATCAACTTTTGCACTCAGTTGTTTATCCAGAACTCTCTCAGGATGTCATTTCCAAGACACCATGGCTCACTGCTAGAGCATGTGACACTATCGCTATGTTTGTCCATAAATTTAAAGACCAATCCATTTTGCAAGATATCTTCCATGGCGTTGTCTTCTGTTTTCAGCAAGAGGACCATTTCCCTATTCAATTGACTGCCATTGATGCCTTGCGCACTTTGGTGGAAGAAGACTCCGTCGCAGCCCAAGTCGCCCAGCAGGCACCTCAATTGATGGGCACTTTGCTTGACATGTCTAAAAACTTTGAAAGTGACATATTGACTACAGTTATGGACGTTTTTGTGGAGAAATTCGCCATGAATTTGGAACCATACGCAAACGAGCTTTCTGTTCGTTTAGTGGAACAATTCTTGAAGTTGGCTCATGAGCTTTTGGAGAAATCTGATGGCCACACTGATATCGACAAGGAGTACCAGGCAGCCGGTATTTTGAATACATTAACATCCTTGGTCATATCTATGAATGCATCTCCTCAAGTTTCTGCCCATTTGGAGATTATTCTCAAGGATATGATCAAATTCATTTTGGAGAATTCAATGCAACTGTTCTTAACTGAAGTTATGGAGATGTTGGAATCGATTTTGTTCAGCACCAACAAAATGAGTCCAATTATGTGGGAACTTTATCACACATGTATCGCTTGCTTTGATACATACGCTGCAGATTTCTTTGACACATTCCATCCCTTCTTGGAGGGAGTTGTCCTCAACTCCTTTGGCACAGATGAAATCACAATCGATAACCCAAACGTGCAATCATTGTTCAAGGTTTGTTTCCAAGTCTTAACAGGTGATAATGTTGACCCTGTTTTCGCCCATTTTGCATTTGAGTTGATCGAGTTTGCTGTGTTGACTTTGAATAAGAAGTTTATTCCGTTCATGCCACAATTCTTACCAGAGATCTTCAATATTTTCTCTACTTTGGAAGCGCAAGATGCTTTCGATGGTTACATGTTGCATCATTTGTCTATCCTAAAAATCTTCTTTGCCTGCTTGTTTGTGGAGCCCCAGACCACTTTGCTGTTCATGAACGAAAAGCAATTTACGAGCACTTTTTACAAGTTGTGGATCAAATACACCGACGACTTCCAGAGTGTGTATGGATGCAAGCTTCAAACATTGGGCATCCTTGTCCATTGTTATTGATGCTCCTTTGAATTTGCTTCCTCTGGAGGATTTGGTGGAAGAGACCGTTAATTTACTCATCTCCAACTTAGAGGCGTTGCCTCATGCAATTAGAGCTAGACAGGAGATTCTAGAAAAGGAAAATGGCGTGAAGTCTAGTACTAAGGACTTTGAAAATGAAGGAGATGATGATGATGAATATGGAGAGGATTACTACGAAGATGACTTGGAGGCAGATGAGGCAGAACTCGAAGCCATGAAACAAACACCGCTTGACCCAATCAATGCATTCCAAGTGTTCGCTGAAAGGGCCACTGCTGTGCAACAACAAGACATAAACCGGTACCAGGCGGTCTTTGGTAACTTGGACGACTCCCAAAAGGAGATTGCGAACAGAATTATTCAAATCCACCTTCAACACAAATAGGTATGAAGTGATAAAGGCTGGAGAAGGAATTGGTTGGATACTCTGCAATACATGAACTTTAAATTTTACCGATTGCTAGTAGGAGCGCATTCTCTTTCTAGAAGATCAAAGATTAGGAATGTATAGAGTGCGATGGTAACAGTGCGATCACAAGAGTGCCACCACAAGTTTTTAGAGAATCGAGCGCAACCACATACTTCATTTCAAATAATGTTTTCTGGATTTGGATCGGGATTTTTCGGCGGAAATTTCGCTCCTATAAGCAACAAGTTTGAAGACTACTTTCGATGTTATCCTGTTGCCATGATGCCTGATAATGTCAGGAAAGACGACGCTAACTATGGAGGCAAGATATTTCTTCCACCTTCTGCTTTGAATAGACTTACCATGTTGCACATCAGATACCCAATGCTTTTCGAGTTGACAAATGAGGCTTTGAATGTGAGGACTCATAGTGGTGTTTTGGAGTTTGTGGCGGAAGAAGGCAGAGTATACATACCTCAATGGATGATGGAAACTTTGAAGTTGCAACCAGGGTCTTTGGTGAAAATTGCAAACTGCGATTTACCTAATGGAAGGTTTGTTAAGATTGAGCCCCAGTCAGTGGACTTTCTAGATATATCGGACCCCAAGGCTGTGTTGGAAAACACATTGCGGAAGTTTTCTACGTTGACAGTCGATGATGTGATTGAAAATGATTATAACGACACCAAATACGGTATCAGGGTTTTGGAAGTGAAACCTGAGAACCCGAACAGAAGTATTTGTGTGGTCGAAACAGATCTTGAGACAGATTTTGCGCCACCAGTTGGATATGTGGAACCGGAATACACCCCCAAATCTGTAAAACCATCCACCACACCCATAGATCCATCAAAGGTCAACCGCAGTGCTGGTGCTGCCACAATGGCAAAATCCATTAAGTATGCGGATATTGTTGCCAAAGGCAATAAGACTCAGGTTTACCAAGGCAGTGGGCAAAAACTTTCAGGAAAGGGACCAGCCAAAGAAGAAGAAAATACAATCAGCATTGATGACTTGGATGCAAATGCAGAGCCAGTACCTTTGCGCTTACCAGAAAACCAAATATTCTTGGGCTGGCCCGTGATACTTCCAACGAAAGAGGAGACAGAATCAAAACAAGAGAAGACGAAGGAGTTCACAGGAGAAGGCAAGTCTTTGCGTCAGAGTAGGAAAAGGGGTAACAAAGGGGCCGAACACCATTCGTTGAAGAATCACTCTCGCAGTCCCGACTACATTGAAATCGACGATTAAGTACGTTGCTCAGATATGTAATGAAAATAATGATGGTTTAAGTGAATGTAATCCACTAAGACTATTCTGTAGTGGAAGGAAGGAAAACATCATTGCCTTGCTCGACAGCTCTCTTGGTGTGATAAACAATGTCGGATGATTCCCATGGGTAAGCAATCCAGTAGTCAGGGACAGTTCTGGCTGCAAAGTAGTTACCGGTCTTCATGATTTCATCTGGCAAGTCTTCCTTCTTTGGCTTTATCTTGTCATGGAGAACAAAAACACCAAACTTGGTGTTGTTAGGGTCTTCACCCTTGGCAGCGGCTTGTTCGGCCACGTCCTTCTTCAACTCAGAAACAGCGTAATGCAATGTGGTTCTGGTGTCGTCGACCTCATCCACAATCAAAACGTTCTTGTTAACCAACCTCTGTTATGTTACTGAGCGTAGTCGATCCACTGCGTTCTGACACTCTTACGGGTCCCACCTGCTCGGCTTGGGAACCAACAGTGTTAATGTCTTCGTAAAGAGACAAGATAATAGCCATAATTCCTGATGTTGAGCTGGCCTTGCTCCTTCAAAAATGTCTCACATACGAGCAGGGATGAAGCCTCCACCACCAATGGCGATGATCAAGTCTGGTTTGAACTGCTTAATCTTTTCAGAAGACTCTTGACATAACTGGTGGACGTTATTGTACGTGATGTACATCTTGGTGGCTTCAACGTCAGAGGTATCCATTTTTCTGTACTTTAATTTTTTTTGTTTTACACTTGGCGGTCAACTTACACAATGAAGGTAATTGGGGAAAGTAACCCTCGACCAAATTGTCCACGAGAGGAAAGCCTGTACTTTTATAGTCTTCGCGCAGATTTTTTTGCATGGACATCAGGGTTCAACGCTACAGTAGGTCAAAACAGAGAAACCTGCCCCGATCTCAAGATCTTAACCACAGAATAGGCAAATAGTGACGGAATTACCAACATTTCGGACCCAGGATGCTAATTTTCCTTGTGTTTTACCCTAATTAACTATGATAATCGTGAATATCAGTTCAAGGATGCCTCGGCATCGCCGCGGCAAGGCATCGGGGATCTGCACATACCAACAGACCTAAGATTCTCAAAAGCAAACTGTATAGCCGTCTGTGATCCACGTGACCATATCCATGACACTATCACCTAAGCTTGATGTTTACTTTACCTTGCCTATCTCCATGATTATTCCGGTATTGGAATGTCTGGTGTAGAAGTAGATATGCCTCAAGAATGTATTGTGGTAGCCTTACCTTTTGTAGAGAGACTGATTCCCAATCTTCGCTATTCGGAGGTATGTGTGATGCGAGAGTCAAGCCCGTATTTAACCCTACTACCGACAATATGAGAACAATTCCTCCAAACACCCGAAAATTTTAGATAATGGTTTACGTGACCGAAATTAGGTGCCAAGTGTCAAGAATACTGCACATGCGCATATGGCAAAAGTCGCTGCCTCAGTCTATCTCCACGTTGGCTTTACCATTCTGATTTCCATTATACCATCATCATGAAGTGGCTATATTTGTTCTGGATCTTCTCGGTAGCATATGCTGCTATCGTGGGTATTGACTTCGGGCATCAATTCACAAAGGCAATTATGGCAGCTCCAGGAATCCCATTTGAGATTGTCTTTACCGACGAGGGCAAGAGAAAGGACGCCTCTGTTCTATCACTCAAAACCCGTAATGAAAGGAAAAAAGGTCATCGACACAGAAAGAGTATATGGCTCCCAAGTGGGTTCTCTTTGCACAAGATTTCCAGAAGCTTGTGCATCTAATTTAAAAAGATTGTTGGGTAAGTCTGTCGAAGATGATGCGGTTTCGGAGTATGTGAATCACCATTTTGGAGTGACACTTGTTGCTGACGAGGCTCGTAATGGAAGCATACTCCTCAGATTGGGATCTGGAAACAACGTTGCCGATTTTCCTGTAGAAGAACTTTCTGCTATGATGTTGAATCATGTGAAGGACAGAGTTCTTAAAACCTTGGATTCTAATCCGGACGCCCAATCTAAAGCAGAAGACGTGGCAATTTCAATTGAACCATTCGCCTCTCAATTGAGCAGACTTGTACTTCTTGACACTCTTCAATTGGCAGATTATTCTTCTGTGTTGGGTTTGGTCGATGAAGGCACGGCAGTGGCTATAGCTTTCGCTCTGAATCACAAATTGGAGGATGAAGAGTTCGATGGCAAGACAGTCCACTACGTTGTTTACGATGTGGGTGCAGGCTCAACCACTGCAACGTTGTTTTCCTATACTCCATACCAGAACCAAACAGTTCACATGGATATCGAGTCTGTTGGTTACGACGAAAGTTTTGGTGGCGAGTTTTTAACTACGCAAGTCTATCAATTAATCTTTGAAAAGTTTTTGAAGGAATTCAACTTGGATGCATCAATCGTTTTGCCTCCAAAGTTGGCATCCAGATTAGCAGAAACCGCTGAAAAGGCCAAAACAATTTTGTCAGCGAACACCGAGTACAAGGTTTCTTTGGAGAGCTTTTATGAAGACAAAGATTTCAAGACAATCATTACCAGAGAAGAGTACGAAAACAGCGTCTCTAGCCTTCTCGAACGTTCTTCCAAACCAATTTTGGATGCTTTGAAGAACTGCCCAAGTGGACCAAAAACTGTAAGCGACATCAAGGCTGTCATCTTGAATGGAGGCGCGTCAAGAACTCCTTTCATCCAGAAACAATTGGTCTCTTTGCTCGGATCAGAAAATAAGATCGCCAAAGTTGTCAACACCGATGAAGCCTGTGCTATGGGAACTGCAATTCAAGCATACAACTTGAAGACGTCATCCAAACTTTCTCCATTGGTGGTCAATGAAAAACTTATCAAAGATTTTGGAGTATCTATTGGATCTTCAGAAAAGCCAGCGACAGTTTTCAGCAAAGGAACGCTCTCTGGAAACTCAACTATGGTTTCTTTAGGGCCACTCGAAGATAATTTCCAGCTTTCCTTGCATGAAGATGGTAAGCCATTTGTGTACTACTATCTTACTGGACTTTTTGCAAAAGATCCAATCCATGAAGTGCAAGCTAGAGAAGAGAGATTTGATTTGGAACATTCACAATCGACAAAAGCAAAGATCTTTACATTAATCTCGTTTTGAGTGGTCAATGTCCTTCA